TTAAATTTCCTTTAAAAACAATTGCTGTTCAAAATGAGTCTCTTTCATGTCTGTGGTCAGTGATGTCTGTGGCGTTCTCTGGTTGGTCTTTGCACTACTTTCACTGCCGTTAGCCTTTCCATGAACAGATCAATGCAACCAAATTTAAAAGTTTACCTTTGGAAATCACACAAACTTAAAATACTCCACTGCAATATTTTCCATTAGGAAGTCCTACCCTCTGCTCCTGCCTTTTCAGTGGTTCATTGTCAGCTTACTTATCCAGATCCACTCTCATCATATGTGGGAATATTTATCGCAGCAAACCCTGAGAAACAGGACTCGGAGATATTTCTTCAGTCTGTGTAGGTTCTCTGTCATCCAGGTCATGGTAGTCTAAGGAGCTGGGAAGGAACAAATACAAGCGAAACAACAGTGTGTGCTGTGTGGTGCAGCGAGTCCTCCTCAGACCTCTATAGTGTAGAAACCAAACACCATGTCGACAGGACCAGACTCAGCAGCACATCAACATCCAAAGGATGAAGGTCAGTGTTCATATTCCGGACAGAGAACGTTCATGCAGAGATTTCCTGTGTTTACGTTTTCTTTTTAATTCAAAAAATCAAGTGGCTGAGTCAGATCAGTATAACTGCGTGCTTTATTGATATACAGTAAAGCATTTTATAATACAATAGTAAGGCATATATTTGGTGGAATCTGATATGTTGTGAAGTACTGATGTTATTTGAAAAATGATGAGACTGAAACAAACGTTAATTCAAAACCTGGCCAGTCAAATCAAACTTAGTGCCAGAAACATCTCTGGGATACTGCTCGATGCCAAAACACGCATGCACGTAATACTGTACCACTTTCACATACTTCTGAGTTGTTAAATATTAAATAATGATGAACTTCCTGTAGTCACACATGCTTTAATTGAAACACAACACACAGCACAAAATCAAATAACCTTTAACCAAAGGAAAAAACGTAATGTTTGCTAGAATAAAATACCTCCTCCACATAGAAAAAGGTTTAGTATATCCCAGGTTTGACAGTAGTGCACAGGGATTAATGCATGGATGCACGGATAAATGCATCTGGGCATTCAGGCTGGAGGCTCCTACAGTGCATTTACTGAACAGTATAGTTCTGAAATGAATTAGCTAGCAATTTATTAATGCGAGGACTGAGAACAGCGGAGAAACTGCCTCTGAACTTTCACACAAACTCAATTTAACCAGTCTCTAAACATTCTTTCATAGTTCAGGAAATCCTCACAATCTAGCAGCCGTGTAACACTGCAGTGCTCAGATTCTAGTCTTACAGTACTGCTGAAGTCGGAAAGCTGTGTTAAAAATGAAATTCTCATGTTGCACGTGTCAGTGCAACAACCAAGATC